TTGGAACTGCATCTACAGAGAGGGAAGTGTGTAGTGGGGTGCCCCAGGGCTCAGTGCTCTTCAACATCTTCATCAGTTATTTGGATGAGGGGATAGATGGGAACTCATCAGATATGCAGACAACACCAAGCTGTCAGGAATAGCCAACACTCCAGAAGATAGGCTTAAGATACAGAAGGATCTTGACAGATTTGAACACTGGGCACTATCTAACAAAATGAAATTCAGTGGTGAAGTAAGGTTCTACATTTAGGCAACAAAAACCAAATGCACAGGTACAGTATAGGTAGTACCTTGCTCAATAGTAGTAACTGTGAGAGGGATCTCGGAGTCCTAGTGGACAATCACTTAAATATGAGCCAGCAGTGGGCTGCAGCTGCAAAAGAGCCAACACAATGCTAGGCTGCATTAACAGAAGGATACCACTTTACAATGCCTTGGTAAGGTCACACTTGGAATACTGCATCCAGTTTTGGTTACCATGATGTAAAAAACATGTTGAGACGCTAGAAAGAGTACAGAGAAAAGCAACAAAGATCATTAGGGGACTGGAGGCTAAAACATAAAGAACAGTTGCTGGATTTGGGTATGTCTACTTCAGTGAAGAGAAGGACTAGGGGGGACATGATAGCAGTGTTCCAATATCTCAGGGGTTGCTACAAAGAAGTTGGAGTCAAGCTATTCTCCAAAGCACTTGAGGGCAGGACAAGAAGCAATGGATGGAAACTAACCAAAGAGAGAAGCAACCTAGAACTAAGGAGAAATTTCCTGACAGAACAATTAATCAGTGGAACAACCTGCCTCCAGAAGCGGTGAATGCTTCAACAGTGGAAGTTGTTAAGAAGAGACTGGACAGCCATTTGTCTATAATGGTACAGGGTTTCCTGCCTGAGCAGTAGGTTGGACTAGAAGGCCTCCAAAGTCCCTTCCAACTCTATTATTATTATTATTAGTAGTAGTAGTATTAGTAGTAGTAGTAGTAGTAGTAGTAGTAGTAGTGGTAGTAGTATGTTCTTGAATAGTGAGGATTAGATATGTTGTTGTTAAATATTATTTCTAAAACAACATTATGAGAGCATCACCGCACCCAACCAATTTTGAATATAGTTTTTGTTCTCCTAATTCTTTCATCAAAATGATGAAATGTGCAGTGGGAATTTATGACATAAGATCCACCCCTTAAGAACTTGCACGTAACATCACAAGTGCAGAAGCAATGAAATTTGTATTATGATTCACATTTTTTTTTGCAATCTTGTCCCACGTATATGCCTGTTTTTTTCTTTATATGTTGTTTAATATTATAGGCTGCCATCAATTTAGACAAATATGACAAATATGTGTTTGAAAATATTTATTACTTTTTCATGTTACTTATTATCTTAGAACAGGGGTGTCAAACTGCTGGCCCGCGGGCCGGATGCGTCATGCCGAAACCGCGTCCACCCCATTGCCGGCAATGGAAAAAAAGTCACAATACGTCGTGACACATCATGTGATGCTGTGAGTTTGATACCCCTGCCTTAGAATATTAGCCATTTTAATATGGCATTCTGAAGTCAACACAGTTTCAGCCTCTTGTTTTATTTGTTGTGCTAATATTTTTCTTCATTTCTGTTTGAGTTCCTACAATTACTTTCCTATAAATGTCTTAAGTCGTTTCAGATTGTGAAGAACTTCTGATTCAATTCCAAAATGTTCTGAAGCACACAAGGGTGCAAGCATAGCCCCTATCTGCAACTGTTTAAAGCAGTTGTGTTTTTCCAGAACTGCAACAACGTGAACTTTAAAGAAGCACCAGAGAAGTTCTCCAAAACAATCCAAAACACTTCATAGCCCAATTATCTATACTGGCAGAAAATATTTTAATTATTTCTTTTATGACCTGAGTACCTTTTATATTACTTTGTAATTTGTAATTGTTCCCTATGGAGTATGTATTTTAATAGTTTACTATATTTGCCCTCATAAATTAGTTGGAGGTTGAGTATGTGATCCATTTAGTTATGACATTTACACACAACTTCTAAACTAAATATTGCTCTTTACTCTTCTGTTCTCCCATATCTACTGTGATGTCAAGTGGAATGTTTCCATCTTGCTCAGATTCTTTCATCATCCAGTGAGACTCTTGTGACTCTTTCTACCATCCAATGGTATTAAATGTAATGAAATTTCATTGTTTTAAAATATTTTTGTGTTTTAATTGTAATTTTTTTAACTCTAAAAAAACTGAGATGGGAAGATCTAGAAATTGAATAAATGAATAAAAAACAAATAAATTTAGAAAATTAGAAATTTAAAAGGATGAAAATCTCCAGAAAATGTATATGTGTGTATGTGTGTGTGTGTGTGTGTGTGTGTGTGCGCGCGCGCATGAGAATGAATGAATGAACAAATGAATGAATGAAAGAATGAATGTAGCTTTGACACTTTCCTATCACCAAGTATATGTTTCTGTTTTCTCCCCTGATTCATTCTGGCACCTTGCCTTTCATTTAGTGCTTTTTTAACAAAAATTGAAAAAAACCTAATTATAACAAAATGGAAAATTATATTAATTACAAAAGCAACGTTCTTCTACAAGATGCTGTTATTCAGTTTCTTGTATAACCGTAACAGAACAGTTTTCCTGTTACATTGCAATTACATTGACAAATTACTGATTCTCTCGACTTCTAGGCATTTCTGCTCTGTGCCACCTAATGTTCTTTGGAATTTTTAGGAAAAAAGGATGTGAATTATTCCTCATCATGTAGACAGCTACCCGAAAGATTATAAAGGCACAAAGTCTTCCCAAACTTAAGCAAAGTACCTTTTTCTTATATAGAAAATACAGCAGTTGTACATAAACTAATAAAGTCTTGCTAGATTACATGTAGAATTCCACAGTTTGAATCTTTTTAAAAGAAGTAGAATAGTAGGCTAGGCGGGAATTTGATTGGATTTTAGTTCTGCTAAACTAAATTTAGAACTAATAGAACTACTTTTAGTTTACCTACATCGAGGACAAAGCATGCACCTCATTTGCTTATTAAATGTTCCAAATACAATGGCTCTACTTTTATCTTTCTAGTCAATAACTGGCAAAGAGTAGGAAATAAATAGAAATGTACATGTGCTATATTTCAAGCATCCATAGCATATGTGTATCTATCACACTAAAACCCAGCCACTCTGCTGGCAATACCTAAAATATAAGGAGACACATATGCCCACTAACAATTATTTTCTTTTCTATCTTTCTCCACTAGCAAATAAGAAGAGAATATAATCCTGATTAGTTTGATAAAATTCTATTAAACTAGCATTATCACAATTTTAGTTGCAGTTCAATCCACCTCACTGGCTATTATTATTGAGATAAAATTAGGGGAAACTTCATATAAACCATATTCAGAAGATAGATGCCAATTGTGACGATAGTATTTTCAATGATAATAATAATGTATTTATATCTCTCTGGTAGCTACTTGCATGTAGTTATTGTTCCACAATTCCTTCCTGAATCTCCTTCCTTCCTTCCTGGGTTCTGAAATACCTTATATAGGCAACACACGGCTTATATAAATTGGATTTTATGGTTTAACTGGAAATTAAGATGGTATAAACTCTTTCACAAGATAATCTCTGTGTGTCTAAAAAGCAAAAGGATCTTTCAACTGCCTTTCACAAACATTACCATGCACTAAAATGACAGGCTGCCACTTATGCAGAGCAGGTGTGGCTTAATAGTCAAACAACTGATAGTAAATGAGCAAAATATGACTGGTCCATTTTTGAGCACCCAAACCCAAGCAATACCGACATTTTACAAAAAGTAAACTCCTACTTTTCTAGGAGCACAATTTATTATACATGCTGCTTCAAATTGAGAAGGACTTTGAATCTATGAAATACCTTGCATGGGATTAAGACTGCATTTTTCATCGATCAGCTTATGAGACTAATGTTGTTGTTATTCAGTCACTAAGTCATGTCCAACCCCCATGGTCCACAGCACGCCAAGCCCCCTCCCCCCAATCCTCCACTGTCTCCATAGTCTGCTCAAACTCATGCCTACTGCATACAGGACAGTATCTAACCAGCTCATCCTCTGCCAGCCCCTTCTCCTTTTGCGTTCAATATATGACTAATGACACTACACTGATACATTTGGTAGCTAGTAAGTGAACAACTTACACAGAAAATACTTCCAAATATTTTTGTATGTACAGGCTGAACTAGGTGAGCCTAAGTTTTTGATGTAACCTAAATAGAATATATTGCCTCAGGTTTGGTTCTTTTGGAAATAGGAAATATAGTTCAATCAGATCTGTACTTACTGGCTGCATCTCTTTGTTTTTAGGCCAACTTCAATTCTTACATGGGGATACCAGGGATTGAATTTGGGATGTTTTTGCATATAAAGCCCATGGTCTACTATTAAGATTATAGTTTATATTTTATACATCCAAAATATTAAGACTGTTGACTTTCGTCCAAAAGCCAGATAAATCTAAACGTATTACTATTACAATGTTCTCTTCCAATGCAGGTATGAGTTACAGGATGCCATCTGTGCTCACTGTCTCTCCATCCTTGAAGTCTGTCTGCAAGAAAAACCATCAGTATCTGCCTTTTGGCTGGAATCCAGTTTCTGATCATTATCTGTGCGGTTTGACTCACACAAAAAAGAATGTAGGAATCCATGTTGTGTGTACTCAAATAGCAGGAATGCAAGCTGCTGAGATGGCTGCATTGTAGAAATGGAGCCCAAATAGAATAAAGCAAAAAAAAAAAAAAAAAAAAGATAAGTATCTAGTTTGTTATTTTTTTCTGAGATTAATTTACTTCATTACCAACAGTCTAATATTCACATACTGTAGATGAATTATGTAACAGTTTAGCATATTAGTACCAGTTTACACAAAAACCTGGGAAACCTTGCTGATTTGTAGTGTACTGTTGTGTTGTTCTCTCAATAACTTGCATGAGCAGATCAAAACATACAGATCAAGCATTTGGAAAGTGATGTTTATTTCAATTATTTATGACAATTTATCATAATGTACAGTAATGGTACTTGTTGCATAGCGAAGCCTCTGTAATAAGAACCCTCAGTAGAGCATTCTTCCTACTGCTTCTCTTACATTAGACATAACCGTTAATATTTTATGACTTCTTACTGTAAGAGGAGTACATACTGCTACATTTTTACATATAAGTTTATACATTCACTCACATGTGTACTGCCAGGAATACAAACAATTCAATAAATTTTAAATTTCTGGTTCAAAGCAGTGAAGTTCTATATAACAATTGTTCCTCTTCAAGCACCCCAATTCCAAGTGCTGATTTCAATACTCTCAAGTAATTATATTTACTCAAATAATTATATTTAGGATAGAGATACAAGTATTTACATGCTTGGATATAATGCTTATTCTCACCATTTTTTTTTCTGTCTCCAAGGAGACTGAATTTTTGACGGATAGTAATGAACTATGTATACGGGCATTAGGGAAAGGCAAATACATAGCTAAGATTCTGGTATTACATTTTTAAAGGGATTCAGGTAAATTGAAACACATTGGAGAAGGATAACAAGATAATCAGGGGAGTAGCAAAAAGGGCTGAAGAAACTGAAATGATTAGCCTGGAGAAATATTAGAGAGGTGGGGGGGGGGAAGTGGAAAGGGAATGGAAAGAAGGGGTGAATGCACTCCTCAAACACTGATGTCATACAGAGGTGGGTCAAGACTTGTTCTCCATTGTTCCAAAATGCAGGGCATATAAAGCATTTAAGTTACAGGAAGGCAGATTTGACTGTGAAATCAATTACCTGAAGTGGCAATGGGCTCTGCTTTGCTAGATGTGTTTAAAAGAAGGTTAGGTACTCATCTTTAGGGATGCTTTTAATTTTCATTCCTGTGCTGAACAGAAGTTGGACTCAGTGAACGCTTCCAACACTACAGTTTTAAGACTGAACTCTTTTCTTGCAATTTAATGATTACACATGATTAGTAAAAATTGTTTTAAGTAAATTTAATATTTATTTAATTCAAATTGGCTTTCCTAATAAGGTTATATTGCTAACTAATTGTAAATCTTTTGCTCCTATTGCAATAACAAAACACTTTTAATGATTTTCAAAATTTACTTTAAAATGATCAGTAATTCCCACTGTAAGAGTCTACTGCGACATCTGCAATGTATATTGTTGGCATGCAGTATTCATTCTTGTGCAACATGGCGTATCAAATGTGAGATCCAACAAAACTGTTAACTAATCTAAAGTAATTTGGAAGCAATGATCAGCAGTTCATCAATTTTGCTAACCTTGACAGACGGCCAAAATTTGTGGGCGCCACTAGATCTGTTCTCTCCTGGGTCAGGAGACAAGCAAGCTCTCACCTCTGATGTCACATGGAGTTTTGAAAGCATTCAAAATCAAGAAGCATTTTGCTTTCCGAGTATCTCTAAAGCCCAGTGAAAGGTCAGTGTGCTTACTCTTTCCCTGAGCCTAGATAAGGATAAGAGCTTGCTCCTGATGTCATGATATGTTTTAGAAGAATTGCAAAACCTCAGCATGATTTCAAGAGAGAGTCTCCCCTCCCTCTCTCTAATTTATCCAGAATCTGGAGAGGCATGGAAGCTCATTCTTGATACAATACTAAATTTTAGATGGATATAGAAGCAGTGAGATGCCTTAGGACTCTATGGATGCCTATGAGCCCCAAGATGAGGTCAGAGACCCCACCTGTCTCCTGCAAGACAAAAAGATGTGTTCACTATTGGAAATTGAGTAATTTATGCAAAGATGTTTCTTGTACTTATCACTTTCTTAAAACATATGATTTTCTTTATCTCACCAGCCAGGAAAATAATTTTACTATTCATCCCACAGTAATGCTAAATCCATTTTTAACTACACTGATGCTCTATACATGTTTACAGACATATAATTCCAATTCATTTTAATTTAACTTACTTTTTAAGTGGGCTGAGGTTCAGTATATAAATGTGTTTCTGATTGTGGTGCTAGACCACTCAAGGAGAAAGCTGCCAACTTTAATTAGCATGCTTGTATTTGAAATAAAGGTTGTACAGAGCACGTATATACACACATAATTTTGTTAGTGACAGCAGTAACAACAGCAGAAGACAACATTACATTTATTTAACATTATGTTACAAGGTTTAAAATCTTTATAGAGGATTGCTTTCAAGAAATCTTACAAGCTGTCCCTTCTCCCATCTTCTAAACTGTTATATATATATATACTTTTCTGTATCCTTTGGTTTTTTAAACTTGTTCAGGTCAAATACATCTGATGTTTTAAGTTAAATCATGCCTAAAAGTGGCCAATTTTCAGAACACAGAAAATATTGCATAGGCAGTTAGATTAATCAATTTACATACCTGTGGTTTCTCAAGTTCCTGAGCCTAGTCATGTATACACTGTCTTCATTTTCTCACAGAGAGCAAAAAATAACTTCTACCAGTGTTTGTCTTTGGTTTTCACACTGCCATCTATAGTTAAATGGGAGAAATGAAATATCTGTTACATCTCCTGTAGCTAACTGTCACATCCAAAACTCTAGTCCAGAATGCATGAAAAAGTCTCAGGCATTCTCACCAATAGATGCGTTATGCCCATTAAGTTTTTATAAGGCAATCTAATACATGTGTAATCAAAAGTAAATCCCACTCACTCTCAGAAAGTTCAGCATAGGATTTCAGCTTTTAAGTATTCATTTTATTTAAATGAAATTGCATGAAAGGTAGAAAAAGTAAAATACAATCCCTGGCTTAATGTTTTATCTGCTACACCGCCTGATATAATAGTACCTAAAAGTGTAGCAAATTGCCATAATTATCTAGTAATAAATGCAGACTCCATCATAAGCATACAGTTTACATGAAATATTATTCTACAAAATATTCTACATTTTGGAAGCTAGAAAATAAAATTTAAAGGGAACAAAGATATGTTTAAGAGGACTTTCATATGTAACATAACTAGTCTCAACCAACATATGGATCAGTCTCATCAGAAATCCTGATCATTTTATATCTTTAATATTCTTACATTTTTATATGCTTTTTGCAAACAAGTCCAATGAGTCCCCTATCATAAAAGTTTTTCCTTAGCAGTGCTATTCCACTGCCATCAAACTATACTGTACTAATAAAAGTTAAGTTGGAGGATAATCCCTTAAAATCTGGACACAGGTTGGTAGCGATTATTTTATCTTAAATCGGATTCCAGTGCCCCGTTGCATTTTGCCTCTTCCACGCAGAATCTCCTCCTCCCTCAAAATCACTCCTGAATAAAAACCGTGTTTTTTTGCACATGGCAAGCAAGCCTCCCTGCTCACTCGACGCCAAGCTACTTGTCAAGGTGTCTACACGCTGCTTTCGCTCTCTTCCTTCCCCTCTACAGCTCCTCTAAGTCGAAATCGCAAAGTAACAACAAAACGCAAGGTAGTTCCGATATGCCCGCTGACGTTGCCATGAGCCACACCATACACATATTCAGTTTACAGTTGCATGCGTGTGCATTTTTACATTGTCAGCGGTTGCAAAATTAAGGGGAGGAGAAACAAACCTGATTTTCCCTCCCTCGATTCAAGCTCTCTCGCAGTCTTCCACTTCCATCCAGCCAAAGGAAGATATCAAGTTGTAAGCCGCAATCTCTGAGACTGAGAAAGACAGACTGGCACCCACGACACACACGTACCCAGAGGCATCCCGGACTCGCCGTTGGCTCTTGGATGCCGACCTCCCATCTGTTGTCCTGTTCCCTCCTCTTTTCCCCTCCCCAAATTCACGTCTGCAGCCACTACCGGCTGACAATGCAGTGGAAACGGGTGTTGCCCACCTGCGCACATGGGCTTCGGCTCTCCCTCGCGCACACAGCCTCTCTTCCTGCTGGTGCCGCAGGATGAAGTGTCTGCTGTTCTTTGCAGCTCTCTGGACGTTTCCCCCTCCCCGCCGCTTCTCTCACGCAGCCCGCTCCAAACAGCCAGGGGGAGCCTCACACTGCGGGTGCCGCTCCTTCGCCGCTTGGGATTCCTAAGGAGGGAGGGAAAACGAGCAACTCCTCTCCTACCCCAACACACGCGGCGACTCCCGCCCCAGGCGGCCTGCCAAACGCGCGCGCGTCCTTTGTGAGGCACATTCCTCCCCGCCGGCTGCCCTACGGCAGCGCCTCGGAGCTTGCAAACTCCTGGCTCATCTAGAGTATAGCCGGCTCCCTCCCTCTTTCCTCCTCCTCTTCCTCTCTCCCACTTGCTTTTTGATCACATGCCCGCATCTCAGGCGCCGCTTGCTGAGCACAAACCTCTCGCCAGCCTGCCTGCTGCCTACACACAAGCAGTCCGCCCCCTCTACCCGCCTGTACTAAGGGACGGAATACGCACGCACACACCTGCCCAAGGCATGTGAAGCACCTCACTACGCAGCCTTCTTCGCCGCCCTCTTCCTTTTCGGCCAACCTCCACTACCGCGAAAACTCGTCCAGCCCACCTGTCTGCGTTCCCTCCCAACCGCACAGCCAGCCACCCACCCAGCCCTCCCTGCAAGCTAACCACCCACCCACACAGCCTTGCAGAGCAAGAGCGAGCGAGGGAGAACGGGTGGCAGAAACGCGAATGGCACGCTGAGACCCATTCTCCCCACAGCGTCCATCACTCTGCATGCACACAAAGATCAGCACACTCTTTTCTTTCCAAAAAACTACTAACCCAAAAATCTGGACAGCCCCCATTCAGAAAGATAATGGGGGGAGGAGGTGGAGAGGAAATAGAGCATTCTTAGCTTTTAAGACACTGCTGTGGTCTCAAATTGGTCTCTATATGAGCAGAAGCAGAAGCATTTGGATTTTAAATAGTTTCACCCAACTTCCAGTGAAACTTACTTGCTTGAAAGGAAAAGCAGTTCAAATCTTTTCTAAGTCTGGCACACAAGGCTGTAAGTGCCTAGTCATCTCAGGGTATAACAATTCCATCTGGAGCCTTATTGAAGCCGATGGAATCACTTCGGAGTTATTTATGTTTATATGGTACCCTACCATGCCACCTAAATGAATGGTTTTATTTGAAAATCAAAATTCTAGTCCTTGCTGAAGTTAATGACAGCTTTATCTTTGAGTCAAGTAAGGTGATTGCATCAGGCAATGCAGCAGTTGTGAGGGCTGTAGACTTCTGTGCATACTCTTCCAATAAATGGAAATACAGTTTGTTCCAGGTAGTTTGTCCTGCAAAAGGATATTGTTCCTTCACCACCGACTCAGCTCCTTTTCTGCAGGTCAACTGCTGCGCAGGAAGAACTTGTCTTTCATCTCAAACAGCCAAATTTATTGAGCCAATTTTATTTATTCAATTTATATTGTTATTTCACATCTCTGGATAGTTTTTAATTAGAACATAAGCAGTAGTTCCCCCCATTCCCAAAAATAAAACAGACATACAAACAATGCAAACATTAAAAATAATCAAACAATTAAAAACCACATAGTACAATCATCGGGAGAATTCATGCATATTAACTGTAATGGCACAGTATTGTACTGTGCTTTAAGGTCTAAACCAGTGTTTCTCAATCATGGCAACTTTTAAGATGTGTGGACTTCAATTCTAGAATTTCCCCAACTCCTAGGAAATTGGAGAACTGAAATCCACTCATCTGTAAGCTGCTGAGGTTGAGAAACACTGATCTAAAACCATTTATTCCAAGCAAAATTCCAATTTACTTTGATGGATTTGTAGGACAATCCTATACACATATCAGAAATAGATTTCTTTGGTACTTTCTTATAAATTAGGTAGAATAACACCTTCATTTCTTCTAGCAAATGTGGTTGACTTGTAGGCTTGAAGTATAGAGGGTCCTAGGTAGATGGATTAGCCAAGGCATATCCAAGGGATATTTCCATTTCTCATAAAATATAATCTCATTCAAATCAAGCTTGACTCCTAATGGTTTCACATACGTGTATGCGTAGTTTTCTTGGCAATGATATAGAAAAGTGGCTTGCCATTTTTGCTGGGATACAAAAGTATTAGGTTATGTATGTTACTTTACATGCAAGTGCAACCTTTCCAGTTTTAATCTTTTGCAAACCTTTTATTAGCAAACAAAAAACCAAAAAAAAAAAAAAACCCCACAGTTGCACCTAAAAAAGACCTTTGAGCTGGAAATCTACATTGGACTTTTAAGAACACAAAGCTAATGAAATCCTGTTGCAACAAGGTTTCTAGTAATAAAAATAATAGGTATCCACCTCAATTTCCCCAAGAGGTTGGAAGTTTATTGGGTGACTTCATAGCATTATGACTGAAATAAGATGGGAGTTTATTTTCATAAATTTCTTCTTGACCTTGCAAACATGAGAGGGACCAGGTTCAGTTTCCCATTTCACATAAACCTGTCAGACCTAAACTAGTCCTGCTGGTAACAATCCCCTAATCCTGCCCTTGCTGGAAAAAATATATATAGAAACATTGCTTACTATTAACAGAAGCAGGATAGGATGCTCCATCACTGGAGGTTTTCAAGAAGAATTTCGACAGCCATTTGTCTGAAATGGTATAGGTCTCCTGCTTGAGCAGGGGGTTGGGCTAGATGACCTCTAAGGTCTCTTCCAATTCTGTTATTCTGTTAATCCTGCTTAAAAAATGAAATTGACTAGAAGCAATGAAGTCCCAGCCCTTTGGGACTGAGGAAAACTAGCCTAATAAGGAAATTGAAATAAAGTAACTGGTGAGAAGCATCTAATGCCTGTCAAAGTTCTCACTTCCTGACAAAGACTATTTCCAGAATGCCTGCCTGCTCTAAAAAAAAAAAAAAAAAAAAAATGGTTCTCAACAATAACACAATAAATCCTTACATAATTTATCCAGTTTTCCCTGCATGGTCCAAAGATCCAGACACCCAATCAGAATTCTAGAATTTCCCGCTCCACAATTCAACATCTTTATAAAAAAAATCTTCCCTCCTATTATTCTTAGTTTCTTTTCCTTTGTAAACTGGAACCCATTGATTGTTGTTTTAATGAAGTGTGATCTTCCTCCTCAGAGTTATGATCTATTTTTCACATCACAGCAATAGTTTAGCTTCTACTCAGCAAGGAATAAGCGAGGGGTGTGGGGGAGGGGAGATTAAGTTGCAAAGCTTGAGAAGCGTATCCATGTAATGATTCACAGCCTAAATAAAAAAGGAATTCTCTGCCTTAGGGAAAGATTTTATACATTTTAAATTTTACATGTTAATCAGCAAACACAACAAAAACACCTTTTAAACAAGCATCAATTAAATTCTATTGTATAAGCATGTACAATACAGAACGAAATATTGGATAAATATCATAGCTCCACTAATTCAGTAACTTTTCCTGTGTATCTATATACTAGAGCATGGGAATTATATGGTATACTGCAAAACATATAAAATATAAAGCATTTTTAATTACTTCATGAATCTATAGAAGTCAGTAAATACTAACATAATCTTCCTTCTTCAAGATAAATTTCATCTAATCAAACACTATTGTGCATGCTGTGAATTCATTTGTATTATAGCTTTATTAGTTTGATAACTGGTTTCAAATTCAGTTGCTTCTGAATCAATCATGTATGGAAGAAAGCGATGCAATATAAACTTTATATCTGAAATGAAAGATGTACATATAAAATCTAGAGCACAACATAATTAATAATAATAGTGCAAAATTTCAGTTGACATGCTAACACTGAGATACCACCTTTTCATCCAAGTGACAAAACTGTAACTATGAATTATTATTTTTTTAAAAAAATTAACTTCTCCATTGAAAAAAATTAATTATCTTCCAAAGACATGTATTAAGACTGATATGTATCTTGGTTTTGATAAATGCAAATTTGTTTATTATATATTGAAGTTTTTCTTTCTCCTCCCCTTCTCTTTTAACTTAACTATAGCTTGAGCCTAGTTATTACAAAAAGATTAGTCATATTTTTAATGAAAAGGCTAACAATCTCCAATGAGAGTGGCCCATTCCACTCATTCTGGCAAAAGGGAATGCTATGGACCCCACTGGCCAAGGAATTTTGGCTGGCAGGCTCCGGGGGGGGGGGGAGAGAACCTTTTCTGCCGTGTCTCCTGCCCTTGGGAACACCACACTCCCCAGGTGAAATCCACTCCCGCCCTCTTGGCCTTCCGAAAGGCTCTAAAAATCCTGGATCTGCCAACTGGCTTCGAGCCCCGATGGTGGCATCCCACTCCTGAGTTGGTTAGTAAGAGTAGATCCCACCGCCACCCCGTGTATTGCTCCAGGACAAAATATGAGTACCAGGACACATTTTTTGCATCAAAAACGGATTGAGTATTAAAATCGATGAATTTCAAAGCAGTTGAGTACCAATGTACCACTCTGTAAGAGATATTATTTCATCATCTTGATGAATAACCCTGTCCTATCTTTTAAGACTGAATAGATGTAGTTAGCTTATCTTTTCTAATATTAGACCAGCTTCACAATTCTTTCTTTTTTTCAAGCTAAGAAATGAATCCAACTGGGAGACTTCCTCTAAGCACCATGGAAAGCAGACACCTTGCTGGATTTCGCTGCCTAGCAAGACAACTTTTGGTAGGGGAATTGCTGCTGAATGCTGGATCCAAGCCAGTGTAATCTATCCAGAGCAAAGGAGATATCATTGAGATCATCCACCTGACTCCAGACAGCTGCTCCTAATGAGTAGACTGTGAATGCTGCCATTTTTATGTTCAGCTTATGAATGGAGTAGCTGGGAGTCAGAACTACATCAAGCTTACATTAGCAAAGCAGCATTTAAGGACATTGGGTTTGGCTGAGCTTTATATCTTAATTGTTTTTAAATTTGTTTATTTATTTATTTGCATATTGGAGAGATTAAAATCAAATATCTCCAATATTAAAACCTCTCAGCAAGATTTTACTATATTCATTGTGAGTTTCTGCCTCCTCAAAAAACAATGGTATAAATTTGATTTTAAACGTCTGTTTTAAAAAAAGGATGGTAGGTTTTTTTTTTTAACTATGCAGCAAAAGGCTATGTAGTATATAGATTTTGGAAAACTGATTATGGATTAAGGGGCCAGAGGTATTTGGAATTATTGTTTTGAATTATTTAGAAAATATTTTGTCATAGGAACATGGAGACTGCTTTTGTTTCTCTTATGATAAGGAGACCTTGAAGGCTGAACACAAGAGTCAGAGGATAAAGAAAGTTGAAAAGATCCTCAATGCAAACTTCTGATACCTTTCAGTCAGGCTTTTGGACAGAATGGATGAAATACTTGATAAAATTGACAGAAGTTGCAAAGTAAGAATGAGTTGCAGTGGAGGTCTATTAAATTACAGATAGTCCTTGACTTAGGACCAAATTTCAG